CTATTTTTCTTTGAAGGAAAAAATGCTAAATTAATTACTTAAAATTATTTAATACATAGTTAACAGTAGCAGCTGGGGCATCACCAGTTTCAGGAATAATAGGCATAGAGCCATAGGTCTTTATGATAGGCCTCATTTAGAGGTGATCAAAGTTGGCCCAGCCCGTCAGTCCGGCCCGATCCGAAAATTTATTTTTTTGGGCGGGTTAGAGAATGCGTTTTTATGCATATTTAGTTGATTTTTTTGGCCCGGCCCGAAAAGTCCACCCGGCCTGACCATTTTGGGCTGGTTTAGGCACAAAATTTTTGGTCCGAAGTTTGACCCGACCCGAGAAATGGGCATAACTTTTTATCTTCGGCCCGGCCCGCCAATGATCACCTCTAGCCTCATTATAGGCAGGAGGGGAGGAATATACCACAATACAAGCTAATTTTGATTCAGCTCCTGCATATGATATATAAATAGCAAATAACAATCTAAAGCTAATAATTACGAGCATAATCTTATCTAACTAATTGACCCACTATGCAGGACTCCACTAACCGTAACAATGACTAATTTCCATGTTACAATAGGAGTGGAATTTATTTATCTCTTTTTCATTCAAGTATGTAGCTTGTTTGGGCTATAGTAGCTTACATGTAGCTCAATTTTCTGTTCTCCAATGGTAAACATGTAGCTAGGTATTATTATATTGCAAGCAAATACTTATAATTAAAACATTAGAGATGCTCTTAGAGTATTAGATTCTCTTTTTTATATCTTTTTGTTTCTTTTACTTAATTATGGGTCAATGTGTGCATAATTAATTTTGTGTTCATCTAATTTTTCTTTCTAAAGGCTCTCATCATTTAAGTTATAAAAAATAATAAAGTAGTAGTGTGGATGCTGCATGAGCCCTCCTCATACCAATCACTCAATATTCCACTTGAAAGTGAAGATGGATGAGATTTGAACCCGTGACCTTTGTGTCGCGTTAGCTCTAATACCATGTTAGAGGACCAACTCAACTAAATACTACCTCCGTTTCTAGTTATTTACAACAATCGTCCTTTTTACGCATGCCTAGGCAAAATTTTTAGGAGTAGTTTAGTAGTGGGTAATGGGGTAGTGGGGTATGTGATTAAGTAATTAAAAAGAGAGGGAAACTTTTGCTTTATTTTTAGGAAAGAGAAAATGTCATACTTGAGTGGACCCAAGTATGACTTTTTGGGGAAAATTTTCCCCCCAAAATTTTTCCCACCCAATTTTTCAGAATTTCTGGGAGTTTTCCTAAGAAAATCCCACGAATTTTTTTTCCCTCCAACCCCAAAAATTTCAGATTCAACCCAAAATTTCCCCCCATTTGAATTTTCCATTCAAGGAGGGTATAAATACCACCTGCTGTTTTAATAAGTTCATACACACAGTACACAAATATTCCCTACTTAAAAACATTAGTTGTTCTTCCCAAAAGTTAGTTCTAAACTAACAACCAAATACTAACAAATCTAGGGTCAGTTGCAGCCATATCTACTTCTTCTTCTCTGGTTCAGCTACAGCGCAGCAGTCCAAAAAAAAGCCATCTAACTTCATCACCAGACCTGCGAACTGGGAACTCAGCATCATCAGTACACTCAACATGGCAGCAATTGCACATGATGAGTTTTACAGCATTGATCAAATATTAATGGAAGAAAACAATATGGACCACAGTGAAGCAACCAACATGGATGAGACTCAACACAATGACAGCAACAGCACTGAGCATGAAGAGGGATTTCAGGAACCCAAAGGTAGAAAACAGTTAACTGTTTTCCAGAAAAGGGAGCTTGTAGATGCTTATCTACTTAAGCTAGAAGGGGGTGAATTGCCTAGGGGGTACGTATCACAGCAAGCAAAAAAGTTCAATGTACACAGATCAACAATTCTTAGGCTTTTTACAGACATCAAGGCACAACTGGAAAAGGGGAATGTCATAGATGTCAGAAGCAAGAAGGTGGGAAAAACTGGTCCCAAACCCAGAGAATACACAGATGAATTCCTGCAATCAGCTCCTTTGTACAAAAGGGGAACTGAGAGAAGCTGCTCTCAACATCTCACATGTCACCATACATAAGCTGAAGAAACAAGGTAGACTCAGAACACATACAAGCACAAATCACCCAGCACTCACAGACAAACACAAGTTAGCAAGGTTGAAATGGGTTTTAAACCATCTACTTCCTGCCACAGAGAATGGGAACCCAAAATTTATGGACATGCAACAAGTTGTTCACATTGATGAGAAATGGTTCTTTTTGAACCCAGAAACTAGGAAGTTCTACCTCCTACCAAATGAACCTAACCCATATAGGTGCCAACAGTCCAGGAGGTTCAAAGTGAAAGGGATGTTCATGGCTGCCATAGGGAAGCCCATTTTTGACCCCCATGGAGTGGTATTACATCATGATGGAAACTATGGTATTTTTCCATTTGTGTATGAAAGAACAGCCAAAAAGAAAAGCAAAAACAGGAAGGCTGGGGCTGTGGAAATCAAGGCAACACAGAATGTAAACAAAGAAGCAATCAGGACAATGCTACTGCATAATGTCATTCCAAGCATCAAATCAAAATGGCCTTCCCATCTCCCCAAGGACATATGGATTCAGTGGGATAATGTCAGACCTCACCAAATTCCAAGGGATGAGGAATTTGAAACAGCATGTCACTCAGGTGGATTCAACATTCAATTCATTTACCAGCCAGCTCAGTCCCCAGACTTAAATGTTCTTGATCTAGGGCTGTTCAATGTAATTTAATCCATACAATGCCAATCTTTCCCCAAGAATCTAATGGAACTCATTGAAAAAGTTAAAGAGGCTTATGCCTTGTTCAACCCACTGTCAAACAAGCACTGTTGGATAACTTTACAGTGTTGCATGGAGGAAATACTAAATCACCTTGGAGGGAACAACTTTACCCCACCCCACAAAGGCAAAAAAAGGCTGGAGAGGATTGGGATGCTGCCAGAGCAACTAGAGGTGGACAAGAATGTGGTTCAACAAGTTGTTGATTATCTCAACTCTATATTCCTTTCAACATGTGAAGGGACTGAAGAAGACGAAGGCATGCAAGTAGATGCAGACTGAGCATAAGTCAGACATGTGAACAAGATTTTTGTGAGACTGCCACACATAACCAATGAACAGCAAGGAAGCAGCATGCAACATAGTATGTCATGTTTTCTGGTTTCTTTTTTATTTATAGTATGACAGTCATTGGTTAGGTGTATTTTGTTTAAGATGATGGCTATTGATATTGTAAGGCAGTCTTAACAACTTCTAATTAGAAAATGTACAAGTTTTTGGTTCAGTTTATGAAATCAAATGTGGCTGTTTTATTTACAAATAGTGTAAATTTAAATGAGGTGACTATGCAAACAGACTAACACATGAATCCATCAGAGGGTTTTTTTTTTCACAGACAATGCATAATTGGTTCCCTCAACAACAACTCACATAAGGAGTTGTTGGAGCAATACCAATTACACAATGTTATGTATCAAATGAGTCCCTTCATCACATGGATTTTCCAGGCACACACAAGAAAGTTAGGGACTCTTACTTCACCTAGGGACACATATCACAAAGTGGTACTCACACAGTAACAGACATGCATGCCACAAGTTGATCATCATTCACCATTGCACAAACCCCAGTGCCAAATGCTTGACTTGTTCAAGATCCAAGTACACCAACACAAAACACAATCCTAGGGACACATATAACAAAGTGGTACTCACACAGTAACAGACATGCATGCCACAAGTTGATCATCATTCACCATTGCACAAACCCCAGTGCCAAATGCTTGACTTGTTCAAGATCCAAGTACACCAACACAAAACACAATCCAGGGACAACCAGTCTGTGAACTGAATTGAAGTAATTCAGCCACACAACCACAACTTAACACATACAAACCCAAAGACAGAATAGGGCATCCACCAACCAAATAAGTTCAAACAATACATCATTCACATCAACCCAACCATACACATACAACAACAAACAACCTAAACAGGCCATCAAGTATTAACATAGCAAACTCAGTCTCAATAGGCCAACCAGCATACACTATCAATAGGGCAACCAGCATACAGTACCAATAGGGCCATCAGCATACACTATGAATAGGGCAACTATCACCAGCATAAAATAACTCCCAACAAATGTGAACATAGCATACACAGCATAATTAAGGCAACAAAGTCACAAAATCACATCAAATTCACATATTCTTCAAACAACAACCAACCATTAGAAGCAAAATTTGTCAGTATAAGAAACAGATCCAACACATGGAATCGGCATGCAAACAAGGAGAATCAAGGCAAAGCATATCAACCATGGAAACTCAAATCAGGATAACAATCAAGCCACTAGTAACATTAGGGTTTCAGAAAACATGAAAACGAACACTGAAGTAAATCTAGGGTTAGAAATGTTTTACGTTGCGAGATTAGTGGGAGCGAGAGGTGAAAGGGTTGTAATCCCCTTCACCTTTAACATCGTCAGGCACAGGGGACTCAGATCTGTGGCGTTTTTTCCCAGCCACAACTTTTGTAGACCCAGATCCACCATAATCCACCACCTGCTCAACGGATTTCGCCACCAACAGGGCCGCAACTGGGGTTTCTTCATCATCGCCGTCTAGAATCACGCTTTCAGGAGGTTTTGTGATGGAACCCTCAACATTTTTGGCCAGATCTGGCTTCGACACCTCACCAGAATCCTCATCAGAGTCGCAAGGAGTAAGCTTTGCACCATGGACTCCCCTACGCTTCATATCAAGGTACATCGCAGTACGTGTACCAATTAATCGCATTTTTTCCGGTGCGTTTCTGGCACTTGTACGTCGCAACAACGCCAAGATATGGCTTTTCTGGGTTAGGGGGACTCATTTTTGAAGGGTTTTCGAACGAATACCAAGTACAATAGCCAGATCTGGAAAAGTTAGGGTTTCAAGTAGGAGAGAGAGTGAGATGAAGGGGCGAATTTTTCTGAGAACAGAGAGAGTGTGTGAGGGGAAAGGGAAAACACAGAATAAATATGTGTTGATTCTGGAAGCAACCCAGATGAAGAGCCATCATTAATGGTGGTGGGTGGAAGAACATTGAATGGGGTAGTTGAGGAGATGAAAGGTTTCTGAATTTTGTAAGAAAATTGGAATAGGGTTTGATTTTTTGGTGGGAATGATTATGGTAGATGGATTTGTTTTAGGTTTAATTAAGTGTTGTTAAAAATATGGTTATTCTAAAATCAGTTTTTTTAAGGGTATTTCGGTAATTTCAGACTTAAAAAAGTTACTAAAAAAAGAAAGAAATCAGTTTGTTGCAAATAATAGGAAGCACCCCTTTCGGGTAAATGTTGCAGATAATAGTTAACGGAGGTAGTATTTAATCTTATATTTGAAGTCTAGGAATATGTTTTACACTCTATCAATATGTAATGAACAAAATAGTCATTTGGGATGTTGAAATTGTAACAGATTATTACATAACTTACAATTTTATACTTCAATTTGATAATATGTAGATGGTAGAAATTATACTAGTACATCCAAAGATTAAAAAGAATGCGGTCAACAAAAATGGATTGACAGTTGTGGATACTCATAAGCAAAGTCGGAAGGATTTGACACAAGATAAAAAGATATGGAAACTCCTTACTCGTGCCAATGTGTTACCCGCAAAGGAAGCACTGAAAACGACAAAAGACCGTGCTTGGTTGGAGGACCATCGCACATCTCTAATGGTGGTGGCATCCTTGATCGCAACCATGGCTTTCCAAGTTGGAATTAATCCCCCGGGAGGCGTTTGGCAGGATACAAATGTAGTAAAAGATAAATATGGCAATAAAGTACTAGAATATGGCTCTAACAACTCTACCCACTATGCTGGTACTTCTGTATGGTCATATGGTCATTTTAATTACAATAATGTACTAGTTAGTAACACCATTGGACTAATATCATCACTAAGTGTCATCCTTCTCCTTATAAGCGGCCTTCCATGCAAGCGACATTTATTATCGGTTTTGAGGATAACCCTATGGATTTCTGTCACGGCAACAACATTGACATACATGTTCTCGGTATCCAATCTAACTTATGGAGAAGGCGGAATTTGGGCTGCATTAGGGATTTCTCTCGTAGCTTGGCTAGGGTTAATGGGATCTATACTCGTGGGACATTTTTTTGCGATTCATATGGAAGCTTATTAGTTGGCTAAGGAGGCAATCAATAATGATGTGTTATCCGATAAAGTCAAAAAACACTACAAATGAATCAAATTTGATCGACAACGTATGATAGTCTCTACACAAGGTGCGTTGTCTTCACGTTCATTGCGTTCTACTCCGGCCATGTTTGTTTCCCGGCTGTTCAACAATAATGTACGAGTAAACTTTTTTTATTTTTGAAGGAGTACTTTGATTAATTAGATTGCACTAAGCATGATTTTATTTATGTACCATCTTCATTAGTAGCTTGTCTTGTTTGTCAAAGTTTGTTGCTTTACATTTTAAGTGTAATATATAAGCAAACATCAATTATAATTGGCCTATCTTCATTTTTAATGAGAATGCTCTAATCTACTACAAAATTACTTAAGCTCGTGTCCTAACTAAAATGTTATATTCTTATATATTTGTCTATTTTTGTAAGAGATTTACTTTGTCCATCTCATTTTGTACAAATTCTAAAACCATGTTATGTTAGATTTAGTCTTTCTGATAGCATGAATAATGAAATTTATCTGAACATCATCATATATATAAAGCTTTACTCCTTCCATTCACAAATTTGTTTCATTAATGATTTTTTTTTTTATGTCCAAAAGCATCTACATCTTGCACCTAGGAATACATAAAATCTTTCAACACAAATAAATCTTCATGCAGTTAATTGAAATTTTTATTCAATTCGTACAACTCATCACATAATTTTGTCCCCTCAAGTGTATCTTTATTTTCTCTCTCGTTCTAATCATAAACCAAATGTGGGTCCGATCTTTTTACCGGCCTTTAATGATCTTTTAATCAATTTATTTTATATTTCGTTTACGTACATATTCTTTTTTTCCTAGGCTACAATATGTAAATATGTCTAGCACATAAAATCACATACCCGTTTTTAATACACATATTTTAGGCAGCATATGACACGGAAAAAAGGGCAAGAGTTTGCAATTGCACTTTCATAGGATGTAGCAGCCTGGTTGATCCCCTTCCTTGCACTTTCATCATGGGTAAAGATGTTGCTATGTATTCATTAATTGATTATTTAACAGTTCTTCTTTCTCTCCCCCTCATCTTTATTTATAATTTGATTACAACATCTTTTCCATACTCCCTTTGTTCCTTTGATTATAAAATTTGCTTAATGAGTTAATGGTGTGTTACTTTGAATTTTTAAAGTTCCTACTTTGTGTCTTTTCACTTTAGATCTAGGCTATTAATTGGCTATTCTACCTACTCCCTCCGTCCCCGAAACTTCGACCCTTTTAGGTTGATTTCGCGGGTATTAAGAAGTTAAATTGGAAGTGTAAGAGTGTATGGGGAAACTAAGAAAAATACATTGAAAAGGGAAATTTATATTGGAATTGCAAAAAAGTAGAGAGAGAAAATAATAAAAGTATATAGAAAAAGCAAAATTTGCATGGGGAAGCTAATTTTGCACAAATATTATTGCAAATTAAAGGGTATTAAAATACAAATGGGATGAACATATTGGGACTAAAGTTAGGCCAAAAGGGTCGAAGTTTTGGGGACGGAGGGAGTACTTTACTTCTGTACAAGATTATTAGCTGGATACCAAATGCCACGACTTCCATTATTGCTGAATGTCACTACAAATTATTAGTCATATACAGTATACATCCCATTCCCACTACTGACTTGTCAACCCTTGCTAGAAAAAGGTTGTTTAATTTGGACTTTGGAGTGAGCTTCCAAGAAAAATATGTCCATGTCCCTCTTTATTTATGAGGCCGTCCCAGTTGATCTTCTTGATCAATTTACCAAACAAATCAAAATAACAAATTTGTAAATAACGTGAACAGTAGCCATATGCTATTACCATTTTGTCC